CCAGCTGTCCTGGAACTCACTATGTAGACCATCTGGCCTTGACCTCACAGAGATCCGCCTGCCTCTGCCTCCCTAGTGCTGGGATTAAAGGTGTTGAACTCAGTTATGAAAGCAGCTGAAAGCAAGATTGTTTGGGGAAGTGAGTCAATATAAAGATTAGAAAAAGAAGAAAAAATCCCTTCTAATTGAACATAGTAGATTGAACACATTTTGACTTGTCTTCTTGTTGAAACCTCATGAAAAGTTACTTAAATGTTTTTAGGAATATAGATCCACAAGGAGAAGGAGAGTCAGAGCAGGCCAACAGTAGATGAACTGTATAAGTAAAACATTTGCACACTCTAAAGTAGATGGTGGGAGAGATAACAGACAGAACAAAGAAAGCTGGACCCTAAGGGAGATACTTACAAGAAGCAGGCTTGCTTCATTGAAAAAGTAAAGAAAGACTTGGAATCTAGAGGGAGAAAGTGTCACCAAAGGCAGGGCTGAAGCACAGGCTCAAAAATCAGAAGACTGGTTGAATTTCTACGAAGGAATTAGAACCCTAGGTCTTCTTTCTTATTCTACACAACCAGATGATGGGAGGACTATTCTCTGAAAAACTGAATCAAAGAGATTCTAGATTCAAATACAGGTCATCTCCAACTTACAATGGTTTGACTTTCAGTGTTTCAACTGTATAATGACAGAAAAGCAACATGAATCCAATAGCAATGCAGTTTGGGATTTTTTTACTTATTTATTATGTGTATGAGTGTTTTGCCTGCATGTAAGTGCACCCGTGTCATAAAATGCCCATGGAGGCCAGAAGAGGGCTTTGGATCCCCAGAACTAGAACAACAGATGGCTGTTAGCTGCCAAGTGGGTGCTGGGATTTGAACCCTGGATCCTTTGGAAGAACAGCCAGTGCTCTCAACCACTGAGTCATCTCTCCAGCCCCAGAATTTTGAATTTTTATCTTTTCCTGGGCTAGTAATATGTGGTACAATTCTATCTTATGCTGGAAAGCAGCAGCAGCAAGCTACAGCCCCAGTCAGTTGTGTGAGCAGCACATTACCATACGAGGTGTTTTTAAGCTATGATGTTTGACTGAGTAGATGTATTAAATGTATTCTTTTTCTGTTTTGATTTTTTTTTTGGCAACATCTTGCACTGTAGCTCAGGCAGGCCTCAACTCCCAGAATCCCTTCTGTCTCAGCCCCTGACATGCTAGACTTACAAGTGTAAGCCACCTCACCTGGCTAATGTATTCTTAATTCACGGTATTTCCAGTTTTCTGTAATTTGGGGAGCTTCTGTACTTAAATGAGCCACATTTGAAATATTCCGTATGCAGATAAATTATTGATCAAGACAACAGATAATTTCAGATATACAGTCTCAGTTCATTTGTCTCCCATGTCCTTTTGTCTAAAGCTACTAGACTATATGCTTCACCAAAATGAGGGAAAAGGCATTGGATCCAAGGGGGAAAAGATGCAACAAAGGAGGAAATTGAGCAGGGCCAACTGGAAAGTAGCAAGCAAGGCTCCTAGGGTACAAAATTTAAAAAGACACCCTCTCTTGAGGGTATTTAAGCTCAGCCTAATATTTGCATAGCGCTTTTTGAAGTTTCGCTCCCAAGTTACCTCAAGCACTGTGGGAATGACAGCTGTACACAAAGCCAGAGTCTAACCGGAAGATGCTGGGCACCAGCGGTGTTCTACTCAAGGGAATAAAAAATGAGCGGCATTAAAGAGTCCCAGTGTGTTTGTACATGTTGAGATATTACCGTGTGTGTGAAATGCCTGTGGGTAAATTGTGATAATCAATAGATATCTAGTAGATAAAAAGTTTAAATGAGTTGATTATTAGATTTTAGAAAAACAAGTCACATAGGAATGGAAATACAATATTTGTACATGAAATAGCTCAGTTATGAATATTTCATAGTCATAGGCATTTTAACCAAAATCTGTGCTATAACAATTTTGGAAGGAGAGGGTGAAAAGAAAGTTCTAGCAATATCATATACACCTAAATTCTCATCTTCCATGTTAGAAAGGCAGTAGAAAATGTCTAAAATTGTTATAGCAGAAAATAGCAGTGTTTAGAAATTTCAAATAGTAAAATTTAGAAATATTAAATACCAGGAAAAAGCCCAACAAACTTGAAAATGACTGCCTCTGGGGAGAACTATGAACAGAGCAGAGGTCAGCAGTTAGAGGCTTTCGATACTGGCTGCACAAAACTCCTTGCTCCTTAGTGAATTGAAGAGAGGCCTGGGTCTAGTCCAAAGAACACCTCCATTTCCCTTAGACTTAGCTCACACTCAGGCCGGGCAGGAGACATCTCGTGAGTGTGACTTCATGGAGCACCCTGTGATGCAATGAATGAATCCTGGCTCTGCCACTTACATTGCTAACTTCAGTTCAGTTCAGAATGAAAATGAGCACGCCAGGGGCTTTCCTGTCCTCCTCAGAGACTTATTGTGCAAGTCTTCTCTCAAGGACTTCGGGGTCCAAATGGATATGGCTTCACTCCTAAGGAGAACTGGGAGGGCTCTGAAGGGCCAACTGCCTCACCTGCCCCATGAGAGCTGGTAAAGGAGGGGCCACCTCCGAAGTCCTCTGGGGCCAGGAGTTCTTCAGCCTGACACCATAACACCCCTCTGTACACTCTAGAGCCAAACTTGAAGTACAGATCCTCAGGCTGAGCTCTCCCTCCTGTACTCATCCTTGTTTCAGCCATTCTTAGCCTTCTTCTGCACCTCCTGCCCCTCTGCCAGTTCCTGCTGGGACCTGCAACTTCGGTCTTGCTTTCTCTCTTTATCTCACTGGCATCTTTTGAGCACCGTATCATATTAATTCTTTCCTGATTCCTTTACTCTCTCGTCTTCTTTCTTCTCTCCACTTCAACATTAGTAGCCTAGTTCAAATCTGCCATCTCTCAACAGCCTGCTTCCTGGTATCACCACTTCCCCTCCTATCTTCTTGTAATCAGTTTGCTCCACAGAGCTATAACAATCTCAAAGCACACTCTGTGCCAAATCCTAGCCTGGCTCCACATGGCCTTCAGGAAAAAGCCCAAACTCTTTTAGGCAGTTTTCAGTGTTCTATACAATCTTTCCCCTGCCTGCTTCTCCAATTCTTTTATTTCTTCCCACCCTCTCCCATTTGCCTTTCAAGAATCAACTCAAATTTGACAGTAAATGGACAAAGGTCATGGTAGAAAGTTAACAAAACAAGAAATACTGATTGCTAATGAATAGATAAGAAGAGTCTCAACCTCGTTTATAATTAAGGAAGTCCAAAATAAGGCTATAACTAGTTTTTACCACTTTCTGTTGGCAGGAGCAAGCACTGCATATAGGTCCACCATGTATGCTCCTTCCCATGCTGTGCTAACCCTGAAGCCACATTTTGCAGCACAGAGTTTGACAGAGTCTCTATCAACCTGAACAATAGTGTCCACAGTGAGCTGAGACTCCTACCAACCTGTTTTGGGCATCCATCTAAGCATAAGAAATATTATCATCTGCTGATTTAAACCATTGTGATTTCAAGATTAGTTACCACAGAACTCACCTAGTATCCTGATACACCCATTTCATCAGAGAGGATAAGGAACTTGTTAAAAGTTGTACAGATAAGCCAGGCATGGTGGCACACACCTTTAATCCCAGCACTTGGGAGGCAGAGACAGGCAGACCTTGGTGAGTTTGAGGCCAGCCTGGTCTTCCAGGCCAGCTGAGGTTACAGGGAGACCCTGCCTCAAAAAGATAAAAAAAAAAAAGTTGCACAGATAATAAGTAGGTAGAGCTGGGATTTGAACACTTAGTCTGACTCCAGACACTGTTTCAATACCTATATTTTCTGTAAATCTCATGGCTGAACATATATGTGTATACATATACCATGTGTGTGTACATATGTGTATATGTTATATACATATAAGATCATTTATGGCCACACACGCAAACACATACATACACATACACACAATAGTGGTTACCTCTGAGGAGTGAGATTAGTGATTAGATTGAGGAAGGAGAGGTGCCAACCTGAAGGTTCCAGCTCCCTTCCTGGCTCCTGGAGACTGCTATCTTGTGGGAACACAGTTACAGTGATGAGAAAGGGAAAGATAGTAGCATGCCAACATGAGGCTAGAACAAGAACTTGAGAAAGACCACATAGGTCCCTAATCCAAAAACCCAAATCCCAAATGCTCCAAAATCCCAAATTTTTTGAGCACCTAGTATGACCCCACAAGTAAAAAACTCACCTCATGTGGAAGTCACGACTAAAAAACAGGTGTACTAAAATACTGTATAAAAATTACAAGAGACTATGTATATAAGGTATAGATGAAACAGAAATGAATTTCATGTTCAGTTCTGGGCCCAATCCTCAGTATATAACATTATGTGTATGAAAATATTCCATCCCACTCGCCAATAATCCAAAATCTGGAACATTTTTGGCCCTAAGCGTTTCAGATCATGGACAATGAACAGAAGCCAGTGCTTTAGAACATGGCAGTAGAGTAGCATCTACAGGCAGGTCCCACAAGGCCACTAACTCAAGTGTCTGAGAAGCCTGGAGCCAAAGCTGAAGCCCCTTGTTACCTAGTTGAAGAAGGCCAGCCTGCTCAGGCAAAGTTCTCTTCCACAGTTCTCAGGCCTCCGGGAACTGTCACCTCAGACAGGTTTGAGAGTCAGCAGTTGGAGTGATGAAGGTGAGGGGATCTGTTCTAGCACCCAGATAAGGATCTTAGTCCTTACTTAGGGTAGTGTTTGCTTAGGCCACCTGGCAGAAGAATTGACAGGCCCAGCATGTGCTGTGTCTTCAATAAGAGTCCTTTGTGAGCCGATCCTTTCCACGTTTTAATCAGCTTTCACAAATGCAGACGTATTGCCTTCCTCCTTCTTCTCCAGGCTAGTGTGTGCACCAGGCTCCACACTCAACCTCCTACTCAACAGTGATCAGATGCAAAGGAAAAAGAAAGGAACTTGCAGACAAGACTTTGGCCTCTGTGAGCTCAATGTCCAGCCCAGCTCCTCCACTTCCTAGCTGTGTGATCTTGGACAGATCACTTCAACTACACTGTCTTCATCTCTTTATCTGCATAATGCAGATTATTAGTCATATAAGGAGCTTAGACTAGTGAGTGCCTGGCATTAAAAAGAGGCCAATAGATGTTAGCTAATATTAAGTCTTATTTAACATTACATGTATAACTATCAGTATTATTTTTCTGCATAATCATAACTTCTATCTCATAAGGTTTACATCACCTAAAATGAAGAAATAGATGTGAAAATGCCTGGGCCAAAGTAATACTTATGAATTATCTGGTTTCTTCCAGTTCTAGTTGTTTGTCTTTATTCCCAGATTAATTAATACTGCTTTTTTTCAGTATTAGGGGGTCCTGGTACCTACTGAAGGCAAGCCTCTGAGCCCCTACTCTGTGGTTTCTAATCTAGTGTTTGGTAGGGTAAGAAATGCCGATCATATTCACTGACATGTCCTTGTGCCAGCTTTAAGTGCCCAGGGCCTACCTATTCATTCCCAGAGAGCTTACAATGTCCCTTAATTCATGCCCTTGACTCCTGTCAGTACTCACATGACCTAATAAACACATAAGAATTTCTTCAGACCGCCACCAACAACAATGATGTTTTTTTCTAGCATCTAGAACACAATTTCTAGGATACAATTTTCATAAAGAGTCTGTGGTATAGATGTTGGGAAAATGGTGAATAAATGGTTAAATCACTCTGGGCCACAAGTTTTCAGAGATTCCCTCTGCCATCAAGTCAACTCTCTTTCCCCATAGTTTGCTTGATTACTATGGTTATAAGTCGAGCCCTTCCCCTTGGCTGGCTTCAGTAAACTTGTGTTTCATGATTCCATAACATTGCCTACACACCCCAATATAGACACAGGGTGCTCACATGCAAACTTGCAGCAAGGTACACACACACACACACACACACAGCCCTGCCCAGACAAATGCATGTATATGTCCATGCCCATGTGGTCACTCACAGTGCTCACAAATATTCTGCTCAGGTGGGTGAGTCGACAGGCAAGGATCCTCAACTGTCCTAGTTTGCCCTTGCCTAAGACAGCACAGATTTTGAACATCGAACATCCTATCATCCTAGAATCCTTCAGTCCCAGGCAAGCCCAGGTGACTGGTTGCCTCTGGATAGCTTGAAGACTCACCAATAACAAAGGCACTGAGGGCCCACTGGAAAACAGCAAAGATCTCCAGGATGGTCCTGAGGTCCTTCTTGGAGGACCAGAACATTGTGCCCAGGATCCCAGTGGCTCCAGGTAAATGCTGTTTGGTTGTCTAGCCCTGACTGCTCTGGGGCTTGCCATATTTCCGCTCTTCAGGCTTTCTTCTCCAGCTGCTGAATAGTCTCCACCCCTTGCCCCAGCTCTCCACAGCATTGCAGGGCCTCCTACTGCCTCTGCTTTCCAATTGCTTCCAGCTGCCTACCTACACGTACTTTTACCCACTTGAGCTAGGCCTGGGTTGAGATTGCAACACCCCTTACACACCTGGATAGAGCACCATGCATGAAGCCTTAGTGTGGGAAGTGAGTGGGTAGGCTGGGGCTGGCGAAGGCTGCCAGGTCCAGTCTGAAGAGGGTGGGTGGGGCAGGAAGGAACCCAGGGCTCAGATGAGACAAACTCAGGGCCTACACTTCTGCTGATGATCTCAATGAGAATGTGACTGGAGGGCTGACGATGTCATAAGCCAGGCCTAGAAAGACCTTTGACCTATTAGTCATTATTAAAAGAAAAGGGGGCTGGGTGTGGTGGCACACGCCTTTAATCCCAGCACTTGGGAGGCAGAGGCAGGCGGATCTTTGTGAGTTCAAGGCCAGCCTGGTCTACAGGACAGCTGGGGCTACAAGGAGACCCTGTCTCAAAAAGAAAAAAAAAAAAAAAAAGAAGAAGAAAGAAAAAGGACATCACATGTATATCTGTGGGCAGAGAGTGAGTACTGAACAAATTTCCTATTGAAAGATTAGACAAATGCTAGTACATACTGTATTATTCTGGGTTAATTAAATTCTAGAATAGACAAAACTAATCTAGAGTGAAAAAAATCAGAGCAGTTGATGCTTCTACCAGGAACTGACTGAGAAGGAATTCGATGGACATTTGTGGGGCAGACAGTCATTTTTTCTCTATCTTTATATAATTTTGAATTTCACAGACCAAAAAAGTGTCAAAATAAAGTGAATAGGGCTGGTGAGATGACTCAACGAGTAAAGGTGCTTACTGCCAAGCCTGACAACCGAAATTCGATCCCCGGGACCCACATGGTAGGCAGAGAAAACCAAATTTTGCAAATTGTCTTTTGACTTCCCACATGTACTGGAGCAGGAGCATGCCCCATCTCCACAAAATAAATAAATGTGTATTGAAGGGGAGCGTCAGTCTCATTTAAGGGTGAGATCCTTAGTAGGTTAACCAGGCTTCAGTGCATGAACCCACACCAAAGAGCATTTAGGAACACAAACAGGCATATCTACACACACACACACACACAGATATTATATATATAATGAGTACAGAAATTCGGCGGGGGTGCAGATATGGGAGGGGATCAAAATATGATCAAAATATAAGTATGAAATTCACCAAAAATATAGTAAATAGGGGCTGGAGAGATGGCTCAGTAGTTAAGAGCACTTGCTGCTCTTGCAGAGGACCTAGGCTCAGATCCCAGCACCTATATGGCAGCTCACAACTGTTTACAAAAACAGTTCAATGGGATCCATGGCTCTCTTCCAGCCTCCATGAGCACTGCACACACAAGGTATACATACATATATGCAGGCAAGCACTCATACACGTAAAATAAAAATAAATCATTTCAGGGCTGGAGAGATGGCTCAGCAGTTAAGAACACTGGTTGTTCTTGCAGAAGACCCAGGTTCGAATTCTAGCACCCACATGGCAACTAACGATTGTCTGTAACTCTAGTCCCAGGGGATCTGACAGCCTCTTCTGTCCTCCATGGGTATTGTATGACACGGGTGCACTTACCTACACTCAGGTAATACACACATACACATAAAATAATAAAAATATTTTTAAAAAAACAAATAATTTCAAAAAACAGTATGTTTAAGATTTGTAGATTTCACTGCATGTAAATTTTACCTCAAAAATAAACAAATATTGAGCTCATGTCAATGCTGACATCTTTAGGAGTGAAAAGTAGTGATGTCTGCAATTTATTTTCAATGTACATAAAGTGTATTGATGGGTGGATAGAAGGATAGGTAGGTGGCAAATCAAATAGATCAAGATATTATGTGTACAATCTAGGTGGTGGGTTCACCACAGGGTCCTTTCAACTGTTCTATAGGTTCAAATTTTTATGATAGAATTTTGTTTCTTAAAAAAGTTCCCTCAAGGTCATAGTAAAAATAAATAAATTTAATTATTGACCTTGGGTTAAGCCCACAGGTGCATGGGAAGTTTCACATCTTCCAGCAGCTTCAGCAGTTGCTGTGGACCCATGGGGGCAGACCAGTCCTAAGACAGAATTAGTGGAGCTCTCCGCTCTCTGATCTCCACAGAGAAGTTTGCTGTGCTGTGAATGATGGTTAATGCAAAAGCTTCCAACTAGTCAAAACACAGAGAACAAATGACTGTGGACTGCTCAGCCACAAATGGGACATCTATATCACACCCCTGCCCCAAGGCTCAAGGGACCATTGTAGAATAGAGGTGGACAGACTTTGTAAGAGTCAGAGGTTAGGGAGGACTGGAACAAACAATGTCTTCTGGACACCACAGGAATGCTGCACACTATTGAACTCACAGCAGCTGTGGTTGCCTGCACAAGATCTGCACAAGATCAAGTGAGTCAATATTCTAGCATGGAATGGAAAGGGGCTCATGAGCCCACACCCCAGTTGAGGAACGATGGACAGCTGATGGCTTCTGGGGGAGGGAGAGTCAGTTTTCTGTAAGGAGATGACTCATGATAGGTCAATCATGTTCCAACATACGATCCCACACCCAGAAGTAGATGGCTAGCACAAACTGAAGTTAATGGGCTATTAAATTTTTTAAAGGACACAAAGTTGAGGGATAGGGAGAAGGGGATAGATCTGAGAGGAGTTAAAGAGGGGAACTGGGGTCAATATTATCCAAATACATTGTATAAACTTGACTTGATAGGCCTTAACATATATGACAGAATGTACGAAACCCAGAGAAGGGACTATGGGGAGTACAGATAGGGGAGGGAGTCTAAATATGATCAAAATACATTGTATGGCCGGGCGTGGTGGCGCACGCCTTTAATCCCAGCACTCGGGAGGCAGAGGCAGGTGGATGTTTGTGAGTTCGAGGCCAGCCTGGTCTACATAGCGAGTTCCAGGACAGCTGGGGCTACAGGGAGACCCTGTCTCAAAAAGACCAAAGAAAAAAAAGATACATTGTATGAAATGCACAAAAATTCAATAAACATTTAAAAATACATTGTATAAAATGATCAAAGAATTAATAAAATATTCTAAAATAAATACATTTTAAAAATCTGGCTTCTCAATGCATGTACATGTGTTGCTTGAACACAGGTATATATGTACAAAAGTAGATACATATGTCGTTGTCCATATATGTTTGTTATACATCCATGTATGTGGGTGGCATCTAAGTGTGCATTTGTATGCAGTGAGGATGTGGAACTATGAAGGCATCTCAGTCCAGCCACATGTGTGCTAGGGGTCAAGTACCTGAAAGAGTGAAGAACTCAAAGGGTTTCTTTGTGAAACGTAATTGTTGACAACATAGTATGGACCAGGTGCTGTTCTACTTAGCTGGGTTGCATCAGTGAAGAAAATAAACCAAAACAAATTAATGCTCTTGAGAAGTTTACATTCCGGTGAGGGAAGATAGAGGGTAGAAATTAATTGTCTAATTATAGAGTATAAGATGATTAAAGTTAGAGCAGAGTAGGAAAACTCCAGAGTGCTCACTTTTCCCAGACTGAGAAGGGGTTGGGTAGGAACAGTAGGCTTTGCAGTTTTAAAAGTCATGGTTACAGAAGGCCACGCTGTGAAGGGAACATTTGAGCACAGGTTTGAAGGAGATAAGGAGCAAGCCATGCAGCTAATTATCCAGGTGGAGGGGGCCATCAGTGCCCAGACCTTTAAGTAAGGTATACCTGGCAGGTTCCAAAGGGCAGCAAGAAGATTTGAGCCAAGTGAGTGACAGGAACTGAGGATATAAAGTTGGTAAGGTTAGCAGGACCCAGATCATGGTGGGCCTTATAGATCGAGGAATGGACTTAACTTTTTATCCTGACCAAAATGAGGAACTACTGAAGGGTTCTGAGCAGAAAAGGGCTTATATTTTTAAAGGGATAGAGAAAAAAGAGGAGACCTTCAGGGGGCTATTTCAATAATCCCCTCTTGTATAATGATGCCTCAGGCCAAGTTGGTCTAATCCAACATGCTCTGATCCTAGATGCCGGATAATATTCTCTCTTATAAAACAGAGACCCCACTTGGACCTTCTCCCTTCTGACACTCAGATGCCTCCAAAAAAGGAGTTGCACTGCTTGAGTACCTGCCATGGGTCCTTCCCTGGCTTGGAGTCTTTCCCTCATCTGGCCTTGTGCCATGCAGTCCTGAAGGAAACCCATGGAGGACTTGGGTGGCTCACCTGCCTGGCTAGAATGCTGGTTCTCTGCAAGGGCTCCTGAGAAGGGAGGCTGAAGAGGGCAGCAGGACCAGTCTCCAAAACTGTGTAGAACCCAGGATAAGGAATCTGGCCTTTACCCAGTTGGCACTGAGGAGATGAGGTCAGCTTCTAACCATGGAGGGTGATTTGTGCCAAATGCCAAATTAAGGCAACCTTTGGGCACGGGATAGCTGTCAGAACCCAACCACCCCCACGATTGACACATGGCTCACCCCTTTCTTCTCTAACAGCTACTTGCAGTGCCAGGCTCATCTGGCACAGAGTAAGTAGCTCATGATCTAAGTCCCCCCAAGGGCTTATGGGGACTTGGCCAGTGCAGAGCCCAGATCCTCCTCTTTATGTGAATGATTTCATTGTTGGGGGCAAGGCTAGCTCACTCCTTATTAAGCTCAGGTTCCTATTAGGGAAATTTGTATGATTTGGTTTTGGGTTTAAGTTTTGTTCTTGAGACAGGGTCTCACTATATAGCTCAGGAAACTTCGAATGCACAATCCTCCTCCCTCAGCCTCCCACATGCTGGGATTATAGGCACATACCATCACCTCTGACTTGTTTGGGTAACTTTTTGAGACTGATTACATTTGGAGAACAAACTCCATGTCCATAAACAATGGGCAAG